AATGTCAGGAGTGCATGTCAGAAAATATAAATGTTATTTACTAAACTGATACAATATAACTGATATTTTGATACTGATAACAAACTTTGACATTCTAGGAAAGAAAAGTAATTTCCTTAGTTTTTTTCTTTGACTCAACAATAAGAACCTCACGATTCTATAATTCTACACAATGGTGAAATGACAGCAGCTATTTTAAAGGCAGTTTTCTAGCTGAGCAATTTCAGTTTAGGTCTACATTCACTACAATGGTCATGGGCATGTCTGAAAACATTAGGAATTTATCATTAATTTTTCATTCACCTTTGTATACCATAGTAAAATATCTTATTTAATTAAGTAGCTTGCCTGTCTTCTAATCAGAAAAAAATTCTCAGCAAAACCATGCTCTCATCAAATATCCACCTTCACTTTTATTTATTACAATTTATCCTAAAATGTAAGTGTGGGTCTCATTTTTAAGTAAATACAGTGTATATATTTTCAAGTAAATACAGTGTATATATTTTCAAGTAAATACAGTGTGTCTCTGTGTATGTATAAAATAATGCAATTAATAAACAAGTACATATATGCTTCTAGAAAATGCAATATTTTTTAAAGATAACAGCAAAAGGCAATAAAACCAATATTGATAATACAAATATAAAAAAGTAAAATATATACAAAAATTACTTAAATATAAAATAACAAATATATAAACTGGATTTTCATGTCATGTCTCTTCAGAGTGGGCCAACATAGAACAGACAATCCTCAGTTCTAGTGAAATTTTTTAAATAGGCAAAGAATAACCACTAGCAAACCTATATTTTATACATAAGCATTTATTCATATTTTCTGCATGTGCATGTACAGATGAACACAGATTCATTTTCTTTCTCTCCCTATTTATATTATATAATGACAAATATGTCTGAACTGTTAATACTCAAGCAACCATTTGCATGCTTGAATTAAAATATGGTGAGGCATTACATAATAAGACTTTTCCTTATAAATTTATAACATATTTGTGTGAAAAAAAAATCACAGATGTTTATATAAAATTTGTCTGAAAAAAAAAATTTAGAACTTTTGTATAAAAATAATATTTTATCAGTCTCGGGAATAATTTGTGAGTGTATATGAAAAACACCCATAATGGCATTATTAGAAATTAGGAACTGCGAGCAATGCTTTACAAAATGTAATAGATATGAGCTTAGTTTGTAGGTGTACAAGTTCAAATGTGATTTACAATAATTATTTTTAACCAATATTTAATTATTATGAGTTGAAAGTAATGACATAATAAAAAGTTTTTACTTTCTTTTGCTATTTAAGCTGCAATAGAAAAATCAGTATTGATTTTGTTTGATTATTTAAATTTAACAACCAGCCAAAGAAGCTATACCACTAATGAAAACATTCTAAGAAAAATTTATTTGAATATTATGCATGTAAAAAAACTCTTAAGTAGCTGTCATCCAGTCCAGTGGTCGTCAACCCTTAGAACTTCACGGACCACTACATATATAACTCTATATTTAGCGGATGACTAATATGAATTAAAAATAAGGTAAATACATTTATACAATAATAATCAGGAAACTACACATATTTCATTCACATTCAAAAATTACATAAAAAGTACACAAAATCTTGCCTTCTTGTACAGAAAGCTTCACAGTTCCATAGCACTACCGGCAAAACTAAAGCAATATCAGTAAACTGATAGTGTTGTGCCGCCAATTTTTAATTATTGTAAACATAATAATCATCACTTACTTAGCAATAGCGGCATCGATCAACAGTTAGACAAAACAAAAACGGAAACTTCCAGTGATGTAATTATAAACAAGAATGCAGATGGTTCTCATATAAATCCATTAAGTTGCCTATCGACACGGAGAAAATGTTATTAACGACTACAATACCATATGTTTATAATTCAAGAGGAAAGAGAATTCCAATTCGCACTAACATTGATAAGAGCAGCATATACATGGATGCCAACTCTCACTTTCAAATGTCACTAGATACACTTGCAAAAGTAGCTGAAAAGTCAATAAATTCAGAAGGAATTTCGCTAAAAGAAGTAGCTAAAATTAAAAAAAAGTACAATTGATATTTCCATAACTGGTTTTGTTACACATCTTTTTTTTAAATTGAATCTTCATAAAAATATAAATAATGTCCCAATTTTTCTACGGACCAGCAAAAAGTTATCACGGACCACCGGTTGGTGACTGCTGATCCAGTTCATTTTACATCTACAGTGTGAAATGTAAAAAAACTATAACAATTTAAGATAATGTAAATTTTTACATTAACTAATAAATTAATTTTCATAGTTTGATATTTGGATTGTAATCTAATTTTAAATAAAACGATTTAGAATGTAACCAGTTTTTTTTAATTAGAACTATTTTTTCTGTAATATTCCCATCACAAATGCACTTTGTCCTGACTGACACCTTCAACAAAAAGTATCATTACAAAATATGAACAAGCAACACAAATAAAAAAAAAAATGTTCTATTAGAACATTGCACACAGCTCTAATGTGTTGGCAATAAAACAATCTCTACTTGATTTCCCACTATAGTAGTATAAGGTGAAATCCTTGGTCATTGCCTAAATGTAGGCCAATTGTTGAGAATGAGGAACAATGGCTACCATGAATGACGACCATGCAATTACCCCACAAATCTTTTTGGTACATAAAACAATGAAAAGAAAAAGTGAAAAAATGCACTTTTGATAATATTTTATGAATATTGATATCCCTATATTTTAAGGTTTCATACGCAGCACGATTTAATGAGAATACTGAGAGTACTCAAGTGATGATGGAGAAGCAGCAATGTACTTTATACAGGGTTGTCACTCAAACAGGAAAATGAAATTCCTCAATTTTTCCAGTTGCATTTTAAGAAATTCCAATCTATCCCTGTAGTATGCGTAGGCTAGGCTGAGAGGTAAATTATGGTAACACTTGAAACCACAAAAATTTCCAATTATATATGACTTACATATATAATTCCTAAATGACTTGCATATATAATTCCTAAAGCATTACAGAAGTTGCTTTCTCCACTGAAGACTGATATTAGAACCTGCCCAATCTGGATTAAAAAATGTCTTTTTTTGCAGACATTTTGCAGATAAATGAAAGAAAGAAATCTATTTAATGATATTTTCAAATAAATTAAGGTATTTTATATTTATTCAGCAGCATACATGAGTGAAAAATATGTGCATTAAATTTCGTGATTGTATGTCATCATACTGCTAGAGTTAGTTTCAAAATTATCCCAGAGAAAACTGCCTGAAATTTGAAAGTATTATTAACTAATAATAAATCAATTTAGAGGAAAGAAGCAACATTAAATGCTATGAATAAAATTAAAATAAAGTTAATTACTCAAAAATTGAATTACAGTAATCAATGATATTTTGGCAAATATAATTGTATTAAATGGTAAGCCTAGATGATTGATTACTATTTTTTTTTTTTTTTTTTAATTTTACTGCAAAATGAAGAATAAGGCATTTATTAAAAAGAGAAAAGGGTTTAAAAGGTTTTGCATTAACATCCTAGTATATACTACGACCTTAGCACAATTTTAAAAACTGTTGGCAGCACCAAAATGAAACGTTTACTGGTCATCATCATGATGCTAAACCCGTGTGTACTGTACATGAAGGTTAGAATAGACTACATGGAGGCTATTCTAACCTCCATGGTACTGTATACTAGGGATTAAACCGATTTTGTTGTATACGAGAATGGGGAGGTATTTTCTTTAGTTCATGCACTGCACATGCGAGTCTCTTGATTCTTGAGGTTCCTCAAAACCAAAGTTGTTGGAAGCTTGCTTTGACTTTCTAAAGGACAATCTAATTAGAGCTGTAAAAACTGGCTCTTTGCCAGCTGCCCAAATTGTATGCCTGAATGATGCTCATGCCATACATAATTTGCCTACAAAGTGATCGCTTTCAACGCTGGTACAAAACTCACTTTTGGGGGGATTGCCGTATTACATTCTCTGACTTTTCCAAATTTTGACTGAAATATTTAAATTCCCAGACTTTTTTAGTCAATTTTCAAATTCCACAACTTTTTCCGGTTTTTCAGGTAGTGTGATAACCTTGTTTATACTATATATATATATATATATATATATATATATAATAAATACATCTGTGTACAATACACCACATGTTACAAGTAAAACTGTTTCAACTAATCATCTTAACACAAATTTTTCAATGAAAATGCAGACTTCGAAAAAGGGTGCATTGATTTTGCTGATTAGTTGAGGTATACAATAATAAAGATGAAAATTAATCATATTAAAAACCAGCATAAACACTTACCTGTTGCAAACATTTCTTTGTACATAGTATAGTAGCATTAAACGTTTTATGCATAAATCCTATTTATTCAGTTTGTTGTCCAATTTACTATAAAAGTTATTTTATACATACTGACAACAAAGAAATATAATTTGTTCTTGTTAACAGCAAATATATTACACAGCAAATTGAAAACAGTAAGCTGATCCATAACACGGTACCAGATGAAAGATTTAAACTGCTGAAGCATTTTAAGTTTCTTTTACATACTTATGATTTAAAGTTCAATAAGCTTTAAATTTGCTTTAATAAATCAAAATTAATTTTAATCTCTTTGAAAAAAAGAAAAGTAAGTATTGCTTTGTTAATCATGAATATATAATAAATACTAAGTTTGTACAGTCCGAATAAACTTATTCACGAGAATTGCTTTACTAAAAAAAAGAAAAGAAAATGTGGCACCAAAAGGAAATTTTACAGAAAGCTTTAAGATTAGAAAATAATAATAAAAAACTATAAATAAATATACATAAAATATATTAAAAAAGTATTTTAAACCAAATTAAATGGTGTGTTCTTAATCCTAGAGACACATCTTTAATAATACATGTGTGCACTTTCTCTCCAGACTAATCACTTTAAGAAAACACATCTAATGAAATATAAAAATATTCTTTAATTACTGTAACACATTTCAACATTTCTTTAAGTGTTATCTACTACAAAACAAAAATTTTTATCGAATATAAGTAAAATACACAAAAATTGTTACAGTTTATGTTATTTTGTAATATTTTTGATAATACAGGAAGTGCAGATTGAACATTTTCAGTGCACAACAGGACAGTAACATACTGCAGGATCCCAAAAAAATTAATAAGACATTTATACACATACTAGAGCATAAATCTTGAAAACTTATCAATCATACTGAACCATGAACAGCTTCTTTACACTTTTGCTTCCAATCATGCACAAGAGTGCAGTATGGTGCTATCACCTTATAACCAATTGGGCACCAGCGCACGTGGTGAGGTATCCATTAGCACTTTGTTTACACAGTAGTCGGGTTCTGGCAATTTTCTGTACACCATCCCTGGCAGCAAATACATTCAATAAGTATTAAGTTGCAACCAAACATGTATTTTTTAAACTGCAGCTGAGCATAATCATTTCAAACCAAAGGCTACAAGGAAAATAGCATGTAAGTGTCCCTAAACTTCTGATGCGCAACTAAACTTCATTTACTCCAAAAACATATTTTCAAAATAAAAATACTTATATAAAGGCATAGATTTATAAAAAATACTTTTAAACTGTAACTATGAATACAATTTCAATATGTATATGAACAATATAATTTTTGTACTGTGATGGTGACTTGAAGGATACAGTTCTCATTCATGAAAATGGGAATTTCATAAAACAAAGATACAGATAATAAATGAATAAACTGACGGCAATGACAACATAAAAACTGAGAACAAAGATATCAAAACTATAAAATAAGTGTAACAAAATTACACGGTTATAGAATTTACCCACCATCAAAGTACTTACTGACACAGTTCAAAAAGAGAAGTTAAAGGGCAAATCTTGTCAATGTCTGGGGGGGGAAATCGAGGCTGACAAAGTTAAGATTACCTACCAACTGAGGCTGGATACCTACCAACTGAGGCTGGAAATTTATTGTTATACATACTGCAATGTTAATATAAACATTGTATGTAATGTACACTGCAGCCAAAACAAAAAAAAGGAACAGTTCTATTATCTCCCATTCTACTGGGCCAATTGATGAAATTCAACTTAATTTTTTCATGTCTTGAGAGCGCGACTTACGATACGTACTAGATTTATAATAATTGTTCTAATATAGGTATTTTGAAACAAAATCGGACTTTTTTCTTAAAGGACATGGGAATTTCATTCCATATTTCGATTCTACGACTCAAATTATGCCAAACTGCCAAGTTTTGTAGAAACCGCATGAGTGGTTTTTAAAAAGTTAATTCTCAAAATTTTAGCTCCTCAATGTTAATTGAGTCAGAGAATCGAAATATTGAAAAAAAAAGGTCATGTCATTTCAGAAAAAGTCCGATATGGTGCCAAAATACCTAGAATAGAACAGTGCTTATATATAACTCTATTATATTTCCTAAGTTGCACTTTTGAGACATGAAAAACACAATTTGAATATTGTCAATCAGCCCAGTAGAATGGAAGATAAAGGTTTTATTATATTAATATTATTATTATTATTATTTGGACTGTACATCAACTAATATTATAAATGAGGCTTTTTAGAAATTTCACATTAATTAAAATATTTCCCATTCATTCATAGAGAATTTAGAATAAAAACCTTTCATTACATATACAGCATGTGATAAAAAGCTCTACACATAATACATAACTGTACAGGGAGGAAAATATTACTGACCATAATCTTCAGGGTATTGTCATAGACTCACAGATATCAAAAGCTTGTGTAAAACGAAACAATTTCAAAAGAAAAATAGATACAAAATACAAACAAAAAAAAAAAAAAAAAAAAAGATATAAAATATTTACATTCAGTTTTAAAGCATTATTAGACAAATATTTAAACAATCAGCTGCCCTATCTCAGTAAAGTATTCAGAATTTGAATAAAACTTTAATTAAAAAAATATATTCAAAAGGAAAACAAATCATTTTCCACAAATCTCAAGATATTTCAACATTCTTATACAGAAAGCTTTCTTCACATATTTTTTTATTATTTACACACATATAAAAAGATTTCTTTTCCTATGCTCAGCTGCAATCACAATAAGAGGATCAATTCAGATCTTTACCATTCTTACTAAACCTTCAATCAAAGAAATACTTGTTCCGGTTATATAGTTTTCAGATGAAATCTGAATACAGAACTGAAACACTAAGTTTAATCATTACAGTACAGTTTTTAAAGTGAAGCATTTCACATAAATAAAATGCATGATGGCTCCATTCCAAAGTAGAAAATTAGCTATTTTCACATTCCTCCCTTTCAGTTTCAAAGGAACATTATGCTATAACAATGTAAGTATAAATATGTCAATAATACATTCAATATTTGATGGCAATAATATCAATTTAAAATAAAGTACAGGTACTGCAATTTTTGAACACTCACTAATGTTCTTGACTAAGGCAATGCTTCTCTGATCCAATCAAATTACATATTGATCCACAATAAAACAGAATGAAAAACAGTCTCCACTGAAACTACGCTTCTATAAAATTTTGCCACATGCTTAGAATTTGTACAGTAAATTAATTTCAGATTGAAACAAAGAAACCATAAAATAATTGATAGCAACTTCTCAATCACATAACTACAAAATATGTTGAGTTTGGATATGCCTTCTCACTTAAGAGGGCTTATTTCAATAACAAAAAAATGCATAGTCAATGCATATCATGAAGCATGTTTCTGCTACAATAAAATAATAGTTAATAACACAAAACTGTTAAAAATGTTCGCTTCACCTCTTAATACTTTAAAAAGCATGCATTTTCTCAATGACAAAGAGGAGTGTTTTTAGTAGCTTTCAAATCTTATGGATGACTAAAAAAAAAATTAGGTAAACAAAATATTCTAATTATAATAATATAACACACTGAAATACGAACATAAAACTAAACTGGCAATACAGTTGTTTCAATAGTAAAATGATTTAAAGATTTTGAAATTCCCTGAATTTAAGACAGTTTGAAAATACCCAATTTTACAACAGATTCTGAGTATATATATACTAAACAAATTTTTGAAACTACCAAAAAATGGAATATTACATAAATCTGTGGCTAATAGGAAATCTCTGAATAAAAAATACACAGTACTATTAAGCACATTTTGGCAAATTTACTTCATATGAACCATAACAGGTAAAAGATTTAAATTCCGTGCCTCTAAAATTTTGCAAATTACCCGACATAAAATATTCAAATTCTCCTATTAAATAAACTGACAAATATAAAAGTAATAAACCTAATTATGCTAAAAAGCCCAATTTTACTTTATGACAGGAAACACATTTTTAAATTCCTCACAGTTCAGGCAGCTACGGGATGAAAAGGCACAGACTGCACTATAAGCTTGTTGTAAGCACCCATATTTTAGCATTAAAAGCTTTGTGTTTCAAGCCATGAAAGCTAAACTAGAATCATCAAATAAATTATATAAAAAGTAGCAGACCTGCATGTTCAAGAAGAGAACCCAGGTTTAATTTTTGTTATAGGCAGAACACAGGCATAATAATTCAATTGTGGTAACAACAGTAATATGCTGCAGGATTTTTTTATTACTGGTTAAACAATGAAATCTCAGGCTTTGTTTAATAGCCATCAAAGAACACTTGATGAGTGTATAAACTAACATAATGCAAAGAATCAATATTCACACTTAATAGACTTTTTCCCTCACGTATTTAAGAACTCAATGTCATAAAAATAATTACAAAGAAATTAAGTGAAAATAAATTTTAAATGCAGAAATTAAATATGGCAGAACATTTATTTATATATGCTTACTTCATAATAGGAAACTGTACAATGGTTATTTCTTAAAACATTTAAATAACTGAAATCTTAAAATGTTTAACACATGCATAAAATATTTAAATAACTTGAAGTCTAAAGCGTTTAACACATGCATAAAATATTTAAATAGCTTGAAGTCTAAAATGTTTAATAGGTTATTAGGATTTTTGGAAATCATCCACATGCTGCAGAGACCAGTTCATTACCTCAAATACTAACTATGGCAAGCAAACCAATACTGCAAGTTTGAAACAGTATTAAACCTGTTGAAAAACTGAGTTGACAATTAAGCAAACTTTAATGATCAAAATATAATGAAGGATAGAGAACTAAATGATATAAAATTAAAAAAATATTAAGAAATATGCCTCTGATTATTTAAAATTATAAATATAAAAAATTTTACAGTAAATGAAATGGTTCTCTGCACAAAAACAAATATTTTTGAATGATGCACAAATAATAAACTTTATACTTAATTACATAGTCATGTATCTACATATAATCATTTAATCACTACATAGTAACCAACACTAAAAATCATCATAAAATAAACAGCAAACACAAAACTTAAAAACATTAAACACTTCAAAAACTCTACAGAAGGAAATAACTTTGCATTCTTTTGAAATAACTTCAACAACATGACAGCTACCAATTCACTTAGTAAATGGAAAAACTTGAAATGTGGAATGTTGCAGTGCAATTTATCCCACACCTTAACTGAACAGGACGCATGTAAGAAAAAAAAAGAACATTTTAAGCCTTTAAAATTACAAAAAAAAAAAAAAAACAGGTAAAAAAGCACATTCATATGCAATTTCACTATGAACAATGCTGTCTGTTGACTAGGTTACAAAATGTTGACATGTTTAATAAGAAACTCCTTCAGTCATTAAATAATAATCAGATTCTGGCATATGCTCAGTAAAATTGACTTCAATAGGCAGCAAATGGTAAGAATTAAAAAAAAAAAAAAACACTGTTGAGTCATACTAATTTTAAAGTTCTTGATTTATGCACCAGGCTTTCTAATATCAAATAACTTCACTGCAGTTCAATGACTAACCTGTGTAGAAATTAATATTACATGTACATATCATTTAACTGCCTTTTCTTCTTGTCAATCTTGAAATCAAATAGTCGCCTTGTTTTCATGATCAAGTCTTATTTGACTAAAATATGGAATATAAGCTCAAAAGCAAGGGGTTCACTGTGGGTGGAACCTGATAGTCTTAATATAACTGGAATAAGTCCACTGTCCAAAGCATTCATATACATTGCTGGTAAAGGTTTCCCTCGAGATCCTATGTCATACTCAACCTATAAAATGAAAATGTTTAAAACTTAAAATTACAGAATTTATTTCTTTTATTTATTTCTCAAACAATATGTATCTATATCCCCCGAAACAAAAAGCAAGATATGAAACATTATGAATTAATATTATAAAGCAACTTCATGGGTTATAGAAAAAGATAAAAGCAATAGCAAATAAATCCCAGTTATTACTGTTAATGGCACTGCTTCTATCTTATAGCAGAAAATAGAAATAAAATATTTTTTAACAATTTAAAACTATATAATTGGCTGATTCTCGGACTTTTTATGAACTATTTTAAAACATATGAAAGAAAATTTCTCAGCAGTATAATAAGGTATACTAAAAATTTTAATGAATACAACAAAATGGAAATACAAAATATTAAAGAAAAATCAGTACATGGAAACTTTTTCTTTCCTATAAAAATGTAACAGTAAAAGCAGTTAATTACCTTAAACATATTGAAATGCATGTTTCCGCATTGAAAATTTGTAATCCATCTATAAAATTCTGAATCAGCCTTAAAACTGCTAACTGTAAATTATATACTTAAACTAATGAAATTTGCTCGACCAGATTTATTACATAGTCAATTGACATAAGCTGTGTCTATCTTTTACACAGAAAGATAAATCTTATATTAAATATCAGTTACATACTAAAGCATACTAATTATGACTCACATGAAATTAATGATTGAAAAGGTGGAATGTTTATATACTAGCAAAGAATGTCATTCAAAGCAATCCACCCTGTCAACTTTTCAGCATGTGGAAAAGTGTTTTTTTCCCAGCCTCAAGGAAGGTATTTGGTTTGATGCACATCCATCTTCAAATAGCTGTGATAACACCGAAGAAAGCTAATATCAAATCCAGACTACAGCAGATATGTCTTAGCATGTCCATCCATCTACATACCTGACAGGCACAGTTTCCCCTAAATACCAATATAACTTAATTGCTTATTAATAACACTTAAATCCTGTTTGCTTAGCAATAAATTTAATTGTTTATTTACCATTGCCACAGACACCACGTGTAAGTGTTGAATGTCCGACAGGAATCATCACGCAAAAAATCCACCTCTCTGGTTCAAATTTGAACATCTAGCTTATACAGGGTGGGACAAATAAAAGTGGCACAGAAAACAGAGTAACTCTGTTCTCTGGGCGACTTTTATTTGCCCCACCCTGGATAATCTATTAAACTTTAAGAATCATCATTGAAAGATCCTTACCTCTTACCTCAGCATACTTTTTCTAATTACAAAAATACCATGCCTTTGTTACATTTTTAACCCTCTGAGCATTATGACCGGGTTTAGGCGGTCAAGAACACCTACCTCAAAGCATTACCGATGCTTCTAGGCAGTCAGTGGAAAAGTGTTTGAAAGTGTTACTGACAGTTTTAGGCAGTCAGTGGTGACAACCTCGAAAGCGCTATGACCGCTTTTAAATGGCCGTGCAGATGTCTCAGCGCACCCCTTATTTCTGGAACCCTGGAGGTGACAACTCTCAGTAGAAGGCCAAGAGGGTTACTCTTTTTCGTTTTAGACCGCTATGTTTAATCGCTAAGAAAATGCTTGAACATGTGGTGGTTCATAAACAGCAAACAAATGCAGACATTCTTTGCTAAATAAATAAGTAGCAAGTAAGCATGTTTTTCCAATACTCCCTTTAAGCAGATACCATTTTCATAAAATATCCTTTAGTTTTTAAACTAAATGTTCAGAAATATGCAAAATGCTCATGAATTCAATTAAAAACAGTATTTGGAAATATTTAAACAAATTTACTTATGGATATATAGATACATAATTAAACCCGGCAAGTTAAAATTCGCATGAAATGAAAAGTACTGCATTAACCTGAGTTACATATAATTACATGTAAAGAATAACATTAAAGCAATAATTCAAATAAAAATTAGCCATCAATAGTAAGTTATAATAAGCGCATTCTTGAATGGGTTTATGAAGCATAATCTAATCTGATATTAAATATAATTATAGTGAATTATTTATTCTTTTTGGAACAATATTCGTTGCTTATACTGGTTTGATTAAGTTCTGTTCAAGTTCATTTTAAATATCCCAAGTCTTTTTATGCACATTGATTTGAATGCAATTTTTATTAGAAAAAAATTCAATGAGTTTGATTTTTCTACGTAATTATGCTTTACATAATTGTAATTACATTGTTCAATGCAATGTAACAGCAAGCATATTAAACAACATATCAAATAGTTTTTTTTTTTAATTTAAATAACTTTGTCTGCGTTCTGAAGCACTTTTTCGAATCATAAGATGATTTTTAATAAAATTTGTAATAGACCCAATTTTTATAAATATTCAGAATTACTGAAATAATAAAAGCTAACCTTTTTAAAATTTCTTTATCAAAGTATTACATCTTACTCAGCAAGACCTGATTAATAAAATCTGGGAAAGGATCTGAGAGTCATAGGTCTAAGCAGTTAAAAAAAAAAAAAAAGCTTGTCCCTCTATAGAAAATTGTCATGTGTGTTGGAAAAGATTTTGCAAGACATTAATATCTTAGCCCAAACATGATTTTTTCAATTTAATCTCCTGTATTGGAGATGGTTTTCAATCATTTTACCATAATTTTATTTTCACATGTGCAGAATTTTTATATTTTTTATTGATCGCTGTATTTTATCTTCCATAGCATAAATTAAAAAAATACACAGAAACTTCAGCCATAAACAGATGATTTAAGAGAAATTTGTTTTGACGTTATGTGAAAGAATAAATATTAAATGATTTCGCATTTATGTTACATGACAGTAACTAGAAAAGAATAACTGTGTGTAAAAAAAAACTGTACTTATAACCTTCTGTATTTCTAAAGAAAACTACAAAATGGTTCAGAATAGCAGACGGCTTTCAGTAATGTCATCGTAAGTATATTCTATTCACATTTTGGAAGAACTGCAGCAGTTCAGATTTGTCTTAAGAGTAATTACACCCCTGGCGATTGGCATACTTACAGAACGAAAAAACAGGCTTTGAAACATACGCATAGAGAAGTCGTACATTTTCTCCACCGATAAATGACAGAATTGATAATAACTGGCTTGCACCGCTAGCAGGATACTAGCACCGTCTTGTAACGGTCTCTTGTTTTAAATATGCTGTGTTCGAACTTAAATTCAAACATAGGCATTTAAAAATTTTATGCTATTTTTTATTTTAAATTATATATTAAATTTAAAAATGCAATTTTTTACATACAACGATTCAATATTTGTTAAAATATTAAACACATAAATAAACTTGCATAGCAGATCAAAATTATGTTGCTGTGGAAATGTTCCATCAACAGTTATTTCTTACAGTTACAACACCATAACTAAATAAGCCCATTTCAAAATGTGGATGATATTGCATTCATTATTTTTAAATTGTAACAATATCAAGTTGTTATTGCTGGTTAAAATGGCTTAAAATAAACTGACACATTATACGAAAAATTTTTTTAATGAAAATTGAATTCACTTTCTTTCACATAATTTCTGACCAGTTCTTCGAAAATAATTTAAAGCTTACTTTACTATATAATAGAAATGTCTCCATGTTTATTGTTTTTAGTTAGTAATTTTAATTTGGGGCTGTTACATAAAAAGGCTATTTATCTTTGTTGTTGTGTTACAGTACTTATTTTATTGCATAACACAAATTTTGCTCAATTGGTTAATATTATAATGCATAGAGAAACTTAAAGAACAAAAGTAATTTCCACCGTTATAATATGTCCTTAAATGGTTTCCAATAAAAACACAGTTAACTAAGTAGTATACTACATTATATTAATTAATTTACTAACTAAATAGCAAAAGCATTTCAAATTTGAAATCCATCTTTTGTACTTTTTGCAAAGTAATAAAAATTCCAATACCCTTGTTGTTTAAAGTAAACAAAAAATGTTGGATTTTCATGAAACGCTAATTTTATGTTATTTGATAAAAACTTACAAACTTAAATTATTAACAGACGGCAAATACACAACTTGGAAGAAGCAATAAATTTAGAATTTACGGCAGCTCCATTTTTTGTCATAGTTAACAAAGTGAAAGAACTGTGAAAGATCAAAGTTATAGATAGCAGATTTTTTTTTTTTTTTTGTCCTTGCACAAAGGTAGTGGTCTCCCATATAAAGTAGAAAATGTACAAAGGTGGTAAGCTTTTAGTTCAATACCCCCTAAAGGTATATTTACATTGTAGTCAACTTGGAGATTCCACTATCAGGTGTTTTCTTTGAAAAGGGTAATACCTTTTTCAGCACCATAATCAAAAATAAGAGTTTATGTTTTCATTACTTAAAAGCTGTATAATATGGAGCATCTGCTCGGAAAACTGTGAACTTATTTTTCATCATTCACGAAAAGAATACACACCTGCATAAATGTTTTGGAGAAACAATACCGTTAACAATTTTGTTACAAAGATTTTTTTAGGGGGGGGGTGTTTCTGTTAGCATCTGCGATAATGCCCGTAGTATAAAAATAATTGCATTGTAACTCTTATGTAGCTAATTACAAGGAAACTGCATTGTAACTCGAAAATAGATTTATTTTCTCAAGTAGCTCCTTTAAGAGAAGATATAAATTTAACATAACAGATTTGTAACATATTACAGAAGTGATATCTCTGAACACTAGTACTTCCAGCCGGTGTCTAGTTCTGGCGAACATGCAGACGCTATGGACGCTTTCATGGTTTTCCTTTTTGTGTTAATGTCAATGCCAGCCATTTCCCCTTGGGCAGTTCTCAACGAAGGCATCCCTTTATTAGGCAGATAATACTTACTTTGCCGTAATCAAATAAATAAAATTAAACTTAAAACGCATATGTGTTTTTGACATCTTTTAAAGGAAGTTTCACACACAACATCTGTAACAGCAATGAGATAATTTTACTTGATCGCATATTTTTACCCGTTCCAATATTCAAGAGGATAATTATAATGCTATTTTAGCTG